CAGCACAGTTGCTCGTGCTAAGGCTTGTTAAATCTTGTCAAATGTAGTGTTAATTCTCTTCAAGTCGCGTTGAATGATTTGTTTTTGTGATTGCCATTTAATACAACAAAAATATATGAATGTTTTCTTTATTTTAATGCCAGTCAAAGTGCACAAAAGTATCGCACGTGCTGTGAGGGTTCGTGTCACGCGCCCATCTCTACAAGCAGACAGTAACTGATAACGGTAAAAACCCGAAACCGAACCTCAACAGAAACAGAACCGTGCCCAGAGCCCAAGAACGCCGAACCCCGCAGACGTAACGTCATCAAGTGGGAGTTACGTTTGCAAAAAAAAAAAAAACTTAAGTAAAAAAGGTTCTCAAAGGTTTCTTCTTGTTTTCTTTTTTTTTTTTTTGCTGTGCTCGTGTTGCTTTATTTTTTTTTTTTGTTTTTTGCCTTCGTCATGGAGAGGCGCGAAGCGAGTTATGAAATTGATACCGAGTCGCTGGTCGCCATATGATTGAAATGCGCGGAAGTTTCCACTTGTCGTTTCCAATTAGACAAGTGTACAACAACCAAGTTAAGAGCAACAACAGCAACAGCAGCAACAACAACAGCAACAACAACAACAACAACAACGGCGACAACAACGCGGAGCACTACAAAGCCAACGGACAGCACGCAACATAGCCACAGTCGGGCCACAGTCAACGTTGCGCTAACGTTGCCAATATTGTTAATTGTGAAGCATTGACAAAGAACAAAAGAAATCAAATAGATAAAGGACACACAGCAGCAGCACACGGCAGCAACACACGCCAGCAACATACGCGAGCAGCAACATGACGCTGGAGCAGGAGAAGGAGCTCATGCCGCCGCCCTATGAGGCGGGCATGGCCAGCGTCTGCAAGGATCTGGACAAGAGCAGGCCCACAGCCAATACGCAACACAACAGCAACAGCAGCAGCAACAACATTGCCAAGCACAGCAGCAACAGCAACAACAGCAACAGCAAACAGAGCAAATCGCATAAGCGCAAGGAGAGCAGCCTTCCGCTGGGCGAACGACATTTGGCCGTGCTCCGCCAGGAGCTGATGGTGTTCCTGGGCAACAGCGGCGTCTTGGGCTCCGGCATGGTTGTCAGCATGCCCAGCGTGACGCTCAACCAGCTGTGCGACAATACGCAGCCCTTCTGGCTGAGCAAGGATGAGGCCAGCTGGTTTGGTGAGTAGAAGAGTAGAAGAAGAACAAGAACAAGAAGAACAAGCGAATCTGCTAAAGTTTCTCGGCTCACGGGCTTTTCACAAGGGAATTACTAGCTCGGTCAAGTCCTTAAATCAAAACTAGTCAAGTTAGAAAAGCTAGAAAAATGAAAGGTTATAAAGAGATCCCATTGAATTGTCAAAATGTGGATCATATTTAATCCTCCTATTCCATGCCTGAATTGACCTTAACCTATTTTTTTCCCCATCAGCTGATATATCTTTTCTTATCAATATTCCATTATCTTATCTTATTCAATTATTTCCTTATCTGTTCAATCAATTACTTTGACCTTGTTGACCTTAACCCATTTACTCTCACAATTCCTAGACATGCTATGAAGGCCCGATAAGGGCTCATCCCATTCTTGTTTTTAACTGGCTACGACTTCATCTACTTCTTATCTTACTCAAACACAATTTTTCATTCTAACTGGATCGAGACCTTTTTTGTTTGAAAAAAAAGAACTCATCTTCATGATGTTTTAACTGTAATAAAAACACCTCAACTAAAAAAAACCTAAGAAAAACCCATGAAATCTGGTGCAACTGAAGAGGTTCACTGTGAAGTAGGGTGCTTTACCTTTTCCTTACAGAGTTGGGTCGGCATTGGAGCCTACAAATAAGGTCTGGTAATTCGCATAGGAACGTACTATAGATTCTCCTTTTCCCTACATTTTCCGCTGAAGAGCTACGCTTTGAAGTAGGGTACTTATAGGGTGCTATTCCTTTTTCTCATAGGAATTCAGAGTTGGGTACGGCATTAGAGTCTCCAAATAGGTTCTTATAATGTTCACAGGAGATTACTGATGATTCTACATTGCGAAACCTTTTCAGCTGTAGACCTACGCCATGGAATAGGGTGCTCATAGGTTGCTGTTCCTTTTTCTCGCACCATATCAGAGCTGGGTACGGCATTAGGGCTCACAGTTAAGATCTGGTAATTGTGACAAAAGTGTACTAAAGATTCTACCTTTCCATAGGGTGTTGCTCATTCTTTCTCATAGAGTTAGGGATATGTATATCATGCCCTGAGTCGATCTATTCAAAAAAGGAAGAATGCCCAGCTGGAGGCTTAGCTAAGAAGGTTTCGTCCTTTCTTATTGAGGGAGTCTTACCCATTTGATATTCCCCGTTGATTAAGTGTCTTCCATTACTTCTATTGCACAGCGTCCATCAACAATATGGCCTGTCCGCTGGGCGGGCTGATGGTCAGCTTCTTCCTGGATCGCATTGGACGCAAGTACACAATTCTGCTGACGAATGTGATTGGACTGATTGGCTGGCTGCTACTCGCGACAAGTTTCCTGTACACGAATCGGGATTACATATACGCCCAGATGCTGGTGGGTCGTGCCTTTGGCGGCATTATGATTGGCATGTTTGTCTCCCCGGTGGGCGTCTACTCGGCGGAGATCAGCCTGCCCCGGATCCGGGGACGACTGATATTGGGCACCTCGATCGGCCTGGCATCGGGCATTCTGCTGATGTACGTGTTGGGCTATTTTATACGGCACAATGTGGTGCTCATCGCCAGCATTAGCTGCGCCTATCAGCTGGCCGCCACGCTCCTGGTGATGCCCATGCCGGAATCGCCCAGCTGGTTGCTGCAAAAGGGACGCATCGAGCTGGCGCGCCGTTCGCTGCGCTACTTTCGCGGTCTGCAGCGCCGAGGTAAGTCCAAGCCCGGTTCCTTTAGATCCAGTTCCTGTGCTAATCCCGCAATCCCAAACCCAACCAGATGACGACTGCGTGCCGGAGTTCGAGGCGGAGCTGACCCAAATGAAGATGACGGCGGACAACAGTCGCGACACGGCGGCCAGCGAGTCCATTGGCCAGGCCATACGCCGGCCGGAGGTCTATAAGCCGCTGCTCATGATGATCGGCTTCTTTGGCTTCCAGCAGGCCTGCGGCGTCGTTGTGATCATTGTGTATGCGGTGCAGATAGCCCAGACGGCGGGCGTTACCATCGATCCGGTGCTGGTCGCTGTCATGCTGGGCGTCGCGCGCATCATAACCACCTTCTTTATGAGCAGCATCTTCGAGAGATGGGGCAGACGGCCGGCGGGCATCTTCTCTGCCAGCGGCATGGGCATCTGTATGCTGCTGCTGGCCGCCGGCGGCTGGTTGCCCGAGACGGTGGGCACCTGGTCCTGGCTGCCCGTCGTCTGCATTGTCGCCCACATTGTGTTCTCCACGATGGGCATGCTGACGCTGCCCTTCATCATGATATCGGAGGTCTTTCCGCAGAGTGTGCGTGGCAGCGCGTCTGGCGTTTCTGTATTCTTTGGCATGATATTGGCCTTCATCTGCCTGAAGATCTATCCGAATATGGAGGCCTGGCTGGGCACCGCCAATCTGTTTGCCTTCTATGCGTGCGTCTCCTTTCTGGCCGCCCTCTTCATCCTCAGCTTTGTCCCAGAGACACGCGGTCGCACCCTCATCGAAATCGAGGAGCACTGGCGCATGGGTCGCCGTGGCAGGCGGGCTCAACGTGCCTCCGCCGCGGCCGTTAACAATCTGAAGGACGTGGAACTGCACGAGGTCTTCCTCAAGAAGTGAACCCGATCCATGCGTGAGAAACCACGCGTGAGAATGCAATCTGTGATGTGTTAAGTACTTAGCCTTAGCCAAATGGAATGCGGCATTTTCTATGGCAACAGCAAAACAACAAAAACAAGTTAACAAATAAATATATATATACTATAACTAACTAAATATGTCTGCTTGTACTTGTTACAAAATCACAACTTCAAATTGATTGGGAAAGTGCCTTCAAAATAAATATATTTATTTATCTGTCGGGTGCAAGCTGCAAGATAGCAGCTGATAAGTTCGCTGAAGTGCAAAGCTCTAAACCAGCTGGTGCTACAGAATTTTACGGGTTCGATTGTCTGAGAGAGAGAGAGAGTGAGAATGAAAGAAGAAGAGTACCCTAAGAAATATTCAAGCTTTCTTCTAAATATGCTCAACTGTGCCTCTTCTTCCCTCTCTCCCACAACTACTAAATGCATTCTGAAATAACTTCGGTGCTTATAGTCCGATCCTTGTGAGATTTGCAGGGCACAGGCCCTAACTTAAAAATGAATCTCCTTTCCCATAATGAAGGGCATTCAGGCGGTAATCTCACAAATAAAATGTTGAGAGTCTCAGCATACTCTATAAGAGTTGACTAGGTTGTATGCTTGACGAGCCTGGCTGCGAAATCAGCGATATGTTTGCTGATGTTGATATTTACTCCCAATTTCCTTATATCGATAAATATCGATAGTGCTGAGCCTATATAAAAATAAAGTGCTGATCAAGAAGAAATCTACTTTCAGGACAAATGTTAAATCCCATAAAAGGTATATAAATAGATAGATATAGATGGATAAAGACGCTTAATAATTAGAAAAGTCTGCATTTTTTGTATATTCAAATTTAATTGTCTATACTGCAGCTCTTTTCCATATCAATCTAAGGCTTATTAGCCACAGGATCAAATAAAGAACTAAGGAAACGAGTTTGTAAGTAATCAAATATTAATAAGTCCAAGGACAATAACGTACATAATTTAAGGGCCTAGCAGGCCATCAATTCCACAACAACAACGACAACAACAACAAGCACAACAACTCAAGGACAAGGACGCCTGATTACCCAAAAGGAAGTCTAATTTTAGCAAGGGTTAAGTCCAACACTTTCGGGCCGCTGTTGTGGGCCGAGCTCTCAATAACAATAAACAGAGCCAGTCATGAATAAAAGACAATTCAAGTGCGTTCAATTGGAATATTTATGGCGATGAAGTGCCGTGACGTAAGGCCCTTGATGTTGCCCAGTGTAAGGTTCGCATTATCGGATCAATATAGAGCGCCATCAACAGATAGGAGTAGGAATTAGTTAGCAAGAGTTGAATGTGAAAGACCTGGAAGATTGGAAGATTTTATTATACACACATCCATTTCACCATACTTTTTCATTATTAATGTTATTATTGATGTCTAATGCATCGTCCAATCATTAGCTCACTTGGAGCATAGCTTCGCAATCCAGTTAGGGTCTCCGGTCTCTAGGAAAGCTTCCAGTATATCTTCTGGGCTGGGCTGAGAGACCTTCACTTATAACAATAATAAGCAAAAGCATTGATGAATAATGTCATTTGAAGTGCATTTAAGGGTAACCACTAGCAATTGGCATTAGCCATCGGACACCGATGAGCCGATGCAGTCAGCTGATGCGGTTGTTGTGGGTCTGAGTCAGAAATTGGCCCACTTGCAAGTCGCATGCAACTGCGCATCAGCGCAATCTCTGATAAGATTAATAAGTAGCTGCGGCCACGGGCTCAGCACGTACCCTAAAACTGCAAGCCGAGCCAGATCTAGTGGGAGAGAGCGAGAGCACAAGAGACAGAGAGAGCGAGAGAGAGAGAGAGAGAGAGGGCGAACGATTGATAATGTCAGGGAGAGCGTTTGATGATTGCATCATTGGAGCCGCAGTCGGAGCCGCAAGTCAGACTGATAGCTGCTGACTATATAAGATCAGACCAGACCGAGCCGGAACAGGCAACGCTTAAATAGATCAAAAACTTGAGCTACTTTCACGAACAACAGACAGCTTTGTGGCCATATCAGGCCAGATTTTATTCAGCGCAAAGACTGTTTGGCTTCTGGCCAATACGAAGTGTAAATACCCTTACCAATGAGCGTAAATACAAAAGCCGAACAAAAATTGTGCTCTGATACTGTGCTAGCTTTTATATTCCTTTGTTAAGTTCACCTTGAAACGTGGCAGCCCTATAGTAAGATAGGGCGAAAGAGGTGGCAGCCCCATCTATATATCTTACTTACTATTGAGGAAGAGAAGTTGCCAATAAGAATCGCATTGAAACAGCAGGGTTGCCACCTAGTTGTCAAAATTTCAGTGTACTGTTAGCGGAGGGCTCCTTCCCTTCTGTCCAACTCAATGAGGTTTGCATAACGATCGGGTTGTGATTAGCATTTTATGTACTTATGATACACATTCAATTGCCGTGGCAAACAAAGTCTTCGAGCTATCATGCCCGTTACAAGGTATTTCCTAATGGCAAACACTTTGATGTATTTGAAAATTTCGCATTAGATAAGCGACAAAAACAAAAACAAAAAAAAACCATGCACAGCAGCAAAAACCAAATGATGTGACGCAACTAGCGGCAAAATATTAACAACAACGGCTAACTGAAATGCAATAAACAATAACAACTTTAATGACAAGAAGAACAGCAAATAGTGTTAATTGAATTTGATTGAAAAAAACGTGTGCCGCTTATCAGCTAACCAATTGGCTATCAGGCGACAAGGTGTGTGGGCGAGAACGAATGTCACCTGGGGCGAGGGCGCTTGCCACTCGACTAAATGACTGGCAAAAGTGATCTAGCCGGAGATACCCTAGAGCCAGCTGCCAACATAAATATGTGCACTTTCTCTCACAGCTAACTTTTACAAATGTACAGAAAGCTCTTACAGTACGTTTTGCTTTTCCAATACGATGCAAGGCCGACAAAGATCTTAGCTTTCGACTTCAAAATGAACTCAATCAAAATTCAAGTCGCTAGACCAAAAATCTTTGAATGCCATTTATGTACACACAACCTTAATGCTCATTTTGAATGGATACAGGGTATACGAACACACACGCACACATTCACGCTCACTTACATATATTAGTAGAGAACTAATCTGGCAACGCTTCTCGAAAGTAAAAACTCTTACCTGTAATTATTGCCATAACAATGTCAAGAGGTAGATGTCAAGTCATTCCAGCAAAGCCATGCACAGATATCCATTTGTTGCACATGCAAAACGTTTGAAAAGCCGTTGCGTTAACGTGGCCTAACATAGCAAACAGCTTTTGTCTGAGACAATAACATAGCCAACGCTGCCACCTGTTGCGGCTCGTTTGGTTTGTTTTGAATTTTAAATATTTTCGTTTATTTGTTCTTATCTTGGTTTAATGTGACGACTTAGTACAACAATTAGCTGCTGCTATTAATATATATAATATATATATTTGTATAAACGAATTAAAATTCAAGTTGTTCATTTCACGCTCATTTATATATACGTCATGTAAACTACGAACATTACAAGTTTGTGTGTGTGTGTGTGTGTGTATAGTGTAGTTTATCGTATATATATATTTTATTTTATTTTGCCTTTAATTCGGATTTCATTTAAAAAAAAAAATGCGCGCGTTTATTTATTTTTGTTTTTGTTTTTGTTTTTTATCTCACTTAACATTTGTATACGTATGGTATATAGTTACATATATAATTTGTTTTTGTTTTTTAATTCGTGTTTGTTTATTTTTAATCGGTTCAGTGAATACATTTTTTATTATATTTGTTTGTTCCTTTATGAATGCATGGTATATATTGCTTATGTAGTTTTGTTGTTTTGTTGTTTGTTGTTGTGTATTTGTTGCTGTCGTTATTTAGTTTTATCTTCACTTTTTTTTTTTTTTAAATATTTATTTTGTGTGTTTTTAAAAATCTTTCAAAGGGCAGTTCACGTTCCACATACAAACTTTGACAGCAGTTTGACGGGTTCATCTTTTAACTTGTTTTTTGTTTTTGTTTTTGTTTTTTTTTTTTTGTATTTGTTATTTAGTTTTTATTTTGTTTAATATTTCACATGCACTACTTAAGTTCAGTTACAATTTCTAAGCCGAAAAAAAAAATGTTCTTTCAGTATATAGTTGCTTAATATGTATGTATGTACTATATGTGTACTTATGAGTGCTATATGGGCATTTCCAAGGGAAATGGAGTAGCTTTCGTATAAATTACAATGCGAGAAAACTAAGTCTGCAATGAAAACGAATTCTATTTCCGTTTTGGATCAGCGTCAAAGCTTTTACTACGAAAACCACCCGATTCTTTTATTAGCCAAGTTTGAGGCCAAACGCATTGTCTTCTCTTCGATGCCTTAACATGTTGAGAATTACAAGCGTCAAGCAACATAAGAAGTACAGTGTGCACTGGCAATGCCCATATGCCTGTTTATATAAGTAATGTAGCTAGTATATATAAAAATTTCGGTTTTTTTTTTTTTTTTTTTTGATTTTTTATATAGGATGGAATATGCATAGAATATGTCTGTTAGATTGCGAGCATAGAAAGAAGAAATTGGAAATGAATAATCCATAGAGAATTTACGCAAAGATTAACAATTCAGTTTATAGAATTTGCGCCGAGCCTTGAAATTCTTGTCGTACTTTCTAACACTAAACTCGAGTAAATAATTATTATTTTTCTTTTATTTTTATCTCTTTTTCTATATAATATCATGAGTCGCTTTTTTTTTTAATTTGCTAACTGACAAAAAAATTATTGTTAACCTGGTTTATGCATTGATTATACGTAAGAAACTATTTTTACTAATCAGTTTTGAGGTTCGATTCGTTAATATATTTGGTTTTCACATCATTCTTATTGATTTTTTTCTTGTTTTATTTCGTTTACTTTTTAATATAAAAAAATGTTTATATTTTTTGTTTTGTTTTTGTTTTTGTTTTTCATTTTGGATTTTCACTTATGCTAAACTCAAAAAAAAAAGTTGTGTATGCTTCTCGCGATTTATTTATGCATTATAAAAAGATTCTTTTTACTTTCTTTATTTTTTATTTATAAAAAAAAAATGTATGTATATATTTGTAGGTTCATATATATATATATATATATACATATATATATATATAGGTATGTATTAATATACATATATTCCTTGAACAACATTTAAAATGTGTGTAATTAGTTTTTGTGAGGTTTATATATCTTTTAATTGCGCATTCGATTATTCCTTCACAAAAAAAAAAAAAAACATATACAACAAAATTAGCTTGGCTGCTTATGTTTAACAACAAAAAATATGTTCTTTCATTTTTATATAAAATATAAGTTTAAAAAAAAAATTATCATCTCTACAAAAAAAATAAGAATTTACACATGCTCAAAAAAACATATTTGGTTAGAAAAAAAAAACACACATTTGTTTTTTTTTTTTCATTTCCTTTATAAAAGAATTTGGTGATTTGTTGAACTTGTTTTTTTGTTGTTGTTTTGTTTTTCTTTCATTTTTGTATATATTTTTCATTTGAATTAGTTTGCTTAACTTCTTAACTTGAACAATTGATGAGACGTCATTAAGCTATCGATTATCGTTTATCGATAATCGTTTATCGTTTGTCGATTATTGGATAAGGAAAAAAATTTGCATTACGCATTTATCTAGAACTAGTTACGAGACGCTAAGTGCTATGGATTAATCCGATATTCGTTACAAGCTAAGGCTACGATTGGTTGAGTATTCATTTTGTGACTATATCCGACTGTTAGCTAATGTCAATTTCTTTAAGGTTCATATGCATTGTGTGGTGCTAACTCTGTGCCAAATGCGTCATGTTCTGACTGCCGGGAGAAGCGTTTAGAGAAGCAATGCAATTAACTACTAGCGAATTCTTTGTGGATGCGATGAGCCGAATTGCTCGTACAGCTGCCTTGAAAAAGAAAAGCACAAGGAGTTCCTCTAACTAGTTGCTTGCTTCTTGCTGCTCTGCACGCTGTGCATCTCTCTTTGCTTGTCTAGGAATTTGCTTGTTATTTCATACTTTTCGCTTTTGAGTCTAGCCGAGCTTCTTACTTGCTTGTGTCAAACGTTTGCTTCCTGCTTCACTTCTCACTTTGCTTCTTGCTTTGTTTTTCGTTTTGTTTTTCATTTATTTTATTGCTATAACGCAAGAATATCGCGTGTTTTCTGTATTTAAACGTTTTTAAGTCTTATTTCCCGGCACTCTCATTCATTTTACTTATCTCTTTTATGACCTACGTTTCTTTCATCTCTCTTCATTGTGACTTGCTATATGCTTTTCTTTTACTTTTAAATGTGCTTTTCGCGTCTTGCTTTGGTGTTAAACATTTCGATTGGTCGCATATTCAATATTCCCGTATTGCTTCTCCGTTCGCTTCTCGCGGCTACTCAGAACTTAACTAACCATTTTGGCTGCTATTTTTTTGTAACGTTATGTTTATTATTATTAAAAAAAAAATTGCATTTGTATATTTTTGTATTTTGTTTTCGATTTCTATTTTTGTTTTTCTTTTTGTTATATCTTTAGAATGTTAAGTACTCAGCACAACCAAGCTGTATGCATAAATGATTAATTGTATGTTATTTAACATTTTCTTTTGTTGCAATTAATTTGCCCGTAGATATTCTTATATCTAATATGTCGACTATGTTTAATGATGAATTTGCTTTTTTTTATCAATCGCAATTCGTTGTTGCAAACTCGACTCTGTTCTTCTTGAAAATAAAATATGTAAACGATAAAAATAAAACAAAATGAAATCAAAGGAAATGTTTGTGGTTGTTGCTAAATGTTTATTTATACGTATTTCCGTTTCAAATTCTTTGTGTATTATGCTCAAATTAAAATAAAGTGCAATTTTTAAAATTTTCGATATACATATATATACATATACATATATGTGTGTGTATTTCAGAAATTTTGGGACAAAGTAAAATTGTTCACATTTTATGAATATTCGTAAGAACTATAAACAAGCATATAGAAGATCATCTCATATACTCATCAATTTGAGTACACAATTCAATTGAAATTTAAATTGAAATTAATTTAATTTTATTATTTGTTTTTTTTTTTTGTTATTGTTTCATTTACATAGTTCATGCAGGCTCGTGGGCGTGGCGGATGGCGTGGCTTGAAGGAAATGTTAAAATCGAAACAAAACTTAAAATAATACAAGAACAAAAGAAAATTATTAATAAAATCATAAAATTGAACATAAAATTATAAATTGAATTTGTGAAGCTGCCAGTGCCACGCCCACTAACAAACTAGGGCGCCGCATTAATTTTCGTGCTTTTTCTTAACATTTCGCGTTTTCTTTCAATTAACTTTTGTCTACTTTTCATTTCACTTCTGTTAGGCTTTTATCACGTGCTTTTCGTTTCGTTTTTTAAGGTTCTTCAATTTGTCTGTATTTGTGTGTGTGTGTGTGTGTGTGTGTGTGTGTGTATGTGTGTGTGTTTGTATAACATGCTCAAGTTGTTTAAACGCATACAAAAAAAAAATTCGTTTCAAAAAAAAAAAAATAATAATCTTTATATTATGAAAAAAAAATACTTTTTTACAAACTATGAAAAAAAAATTGTTTCCTTCTTTTGTTTTTATTTTTCTTTTGTTTTTTTTTTTTGTAATTTTGTCTGGTAAACAGGTTGAGGGGGCGAAGGGTTCAAGCCCCCCCGAAATAAGCTGCACCTTTTGTTAGCTGCTGTTGAAACAGACAGGCCTAGCGGACAGTGCTGCCAGACTGTCGCAACAGCAGGCGGGCAGTGCTGCCCATATACCCTTCAAAAAGCTCGTTCTCATGCTCTCTCTCTCTCACTCGCCTCATCGTATCATCCTATAGTTGGTAAGAACAGCCTGAACTTGAGCATGCTAACATTTATATTATTATGTATTGAATATAGTATATATAATATATTAAAAAAAAATTGTATTTATAAATTATGAAAAAAAAAAATAATGTAAACAGATCTTCAGCTATATAAATATACATATATATATATAATCCGGTACTCGTATAAGTCAGTTAAGAGACACAGAAACAGAAAAAAAAACAGAGCTTATATGCCTTCACGCCTAATTGTATGATATATATTTATATATATATATGATTTTTTTTAGTTATATATTTGAAAAAAAAAATTATCATTTCGCCTAAAGTTAAGCACAAAAAAAAACCTTCGCATTTCTATATGATTATAATATAGTATTTCATATACATACATATATATGTGTATATATATGTGTGTCTGTGTATATATATATGTGTGTGTTTCACTTCATATAGCCAATGTATACATATATAATGTTTATATATATATAGAGAGAGCGACTAACTACGGTCGCATTTTACATAGAAAGAAAAAAAAAGTCCTCCGAAAAAAAAGCACAAAAATAAAAAAAAAATTACAACATAAAAGTACTGAGGAACATTTAAGGATAAACACACAAAAAAAAAAAAAAAAAATAAATGGTCAGAAAAAAAATATTCATTAATTAATTAATAATTATGTTTAAATTGATTGGTATTCGTTGAGAACATATAGATGATCCACATTAGTTCAAGTTATATGCAATGTTTTTTTTTTTTTTTGAATCCGTTGAGTTTGATGCTCTCGCTAATCTTTTCTTTTTTTGTTTTTAAGTATTTATTGTGTGTGTTTTTGAGGTTATGTGGGCCACAAAAAGCCGCCATTTGCGTGCGTTGCCGTTGCAGTTGTTGCTGTTGCAGCTGTTGCAGTTGTTGCCGCTGTGAAGCTGTTGCTGCTTAGCAGCTTTTGCAGCTTTTGCGCATGTTGCTGTTGATCTATGCCATAGCCAAAGTCCAGCAATTGTTGCTGTGTTGAGAGCATGTGATTGTTGCTGCTGCTGTTGCCGAGGCTATTGAGTTGACTGTTGCCGTTGCTGCTGTGTTGCTGTTGTTGTTGCATGTTGCTGCTGGTGCTGTGTGGGCTTAAGCCGAAGCCATTGCTGTTGCTGCTGTGTTGTTGTTGCTGCTGTTGCATGCTGCTGTTGCTGCTGTGTGAACTTAAGCTTAAGCCATTGTTGCTAGTATGTTGCATGTTGCTGCCGTGCGAGCCCAAGCTGAGGCTATGAAGGTGGATGTTGCCGTTGCTGCTGTTCAGTTGCTGTTGCATGTTGCTGCTGTGTGGACTTAAGCTCAAGCCGTTGCTGTTGTGCAGTTGCATGTTGCTGCCGTGTGGACTTAAGCTCAAGCCATTGCTGCTGTGGTGTTGCATGCTGCTGTTGCTGCTGCTACTGTGATGTTGCTGCTGTGTTAGATTGCCGTTAAGCTGCAACTGCTGCTGTTGTTGATTGTAGCTGAGCATGTGGGCGGCAACATTGTTGGAATTATGTTGCTGGCGCTGCGCATTGCTGCTGTGATTGTTGTGGCCCATGTTGCTGTTGTTGTTCTGTTGTTGATACTGATTGCTGCTGTGCGCAGCAGCACTGCTCAGGCGTGGCAGCTGCCCAATGTTGTTGTTGTGGTTGCTGCTATTGTTGTTGTTGTTGTTGTTGTTGTTGTGGCTATGTGGCGGCGATTGTTGCTGTTGTTGCTGATGATATAGTGAATGATATTGTAGCATGTTGTTGGGGGAGTTGTTGCTGTTGTTGTTGTTGTTGTTGTTGTTGCTGCTGTTGTTGCTGTTGCTGTTGTTGTTGCCATGGGAATTGTAGCCGCACGCCTGCTGATAGAGCTGCAGTTGCTGCTGCTGCTGCGGCGTCAATTATAAGTAAGGATAATGGTACTTCCGGCGGTACAGTCCGTCAAGCAAATCGGCAAAGTTGTCGCCTAAAAGTTGTATTAATTTTTTTTTTTTTTTAGCAAAAAAAATAAAAAAAGAATAAAAACAAAAATAAGAGAAAATTGTATATTAGTAAATGACTTTGTGCATAGAATATTAATATTATTAAGCGTCTATTTGAAAAAGTTTGGCATTCGTTAAGATTTAGAAAGTTTTAAAGATTTCGTTAAATTTAAGCTAAATGTTGTTCTCTAGCTTAAGATCAAATTTAAGACATACAATGCTTGATTTAAGTTTCAATTAAGTTGGAAAAGTGCTGCTAGACAAAAACCCTAACTTAAATAACTTAAGCGGTCTTCTAAAAACTGACTGATCGTACAGATATATGCATATATATATTTATATATATATATATATATTTATATATATATAGTTATATATATATATTTAAATAAACTATAGTTTGTTTGGATCTAGAGTTTTGGTAGATGTGTTTGTTAGTGTTTATTGTTGTACTCGGTTTGTTTTTGATTTGTTTTCTGTTATTTTTTTTTTGTTTTTTCTTTGTTTGGGGTTTTTTTGCGTTTACGTTAAAAATTTGTATTTGAATTGGATTTAGTTTTCTTTTTCTTTATCTTTGTTTAAGTTTTTGCGAGTTTTGGTATTTAGATATTTTGTAGCTCGTAAAACCAAAAATTGATTTGCTGAACGTTTTCATTTTGCATTTTACCCGTGTCGTTAGAAAGTCTTCAAAGTTGAACGAGTTTTATTTTCGTTTGTTTTTTTCTTTCTTTTTTTTTTAACTAGAAAATTGATCGATTATTTCTTATTGCATTCATTGAACGTGCCATGTTTTGTTTGCTTTTTCTTAGTTACTTTTTTATTTTTAATTGTGTTTTTGGATAAAAATGGGGAAAAACTTGTTGGGAACTTGTTTTGGAATAGCGTGAGGTTTTCAAAGAACACAAAAATATGGCTGGGCAAACGTTTGATGAGCATGAGCATAGGCTATAGCATGAAAGTGTAAGAAAATGATTTTGATTTTTGCAATATCAATCGAAGAAATAACGAACTTGGCAGGCAAAACACAATTTCATATAAATATGTTACCATCTATAAAGAAAATACAAATTCCAACGCATACGTGAGAGCTGATGATTGAGATATAGTTTTTTAAAGATTGATGGATTGATATCATGTTATACATATATATCTATATCTATATATAGCTGAGCTAACGAACTTCTCGGACCAACGAAAATGAGGCGTGCCCCTTGCAATTGGGCAATATATATTGCATTTATATATATATATAGATAACTGTAGGATCTAGGACTAGGTAAATTTTGGTTGGGTTCGGTATTTACACAAAATTCTCAAAAGACGCACATCAATTGGAGTCAGGGGCAAGGGGGGCTGGGGCAGGTAAGGCGCAAGCAAAACTAATCAATAGCAAAAAAGTTTCGTTCGAATATAATATCCGATTGATATATATTTATAGTATATATATATATATGTATATAATATGTTTTGGGTATAAAGCGGAATGTTTATGATTTTTAGGGTCTTTGCGCATTTCTTTTGATGGGCTACAAAATATTTTCATTTTTGTTAGTTTAATTAATTTTGTTGCCTTTCGCGCGATTGGAACTTTTTCAAATAACGCTCTAAATTTTAATTTTAAATATACTTAATTTTTTTTTGGTTTTTTTTTTTTTTTTTTTTTTTTTTTGAGAGAGAGAGTCAAATAAGCACGAATCAGACGAATTATGTTGAATATATGATGAGGTATGAGAAACTAAATTGAATTATGTTGAAAACATGGCACGCTTTGAAGAATTGTTTCTTTCTTTTTTTTTTCGACAAATTTGCAGCATGAGGCGGAATTTGAAGCTCGCATTGATATTGAAAAAGAATAAAAGTATATATAATATATAAATATATTGTATATATTGTTTTTTGAGCTATGTCGAATAAATGTGTGTCGGGTAATGTCCGATTATGTATATATATATATCTGTGTGTGTGAGTGTGTGTGTGAGTGTGTGTGTGTGTGTGTGTGTGTGTGAGTATATATATTAAAAGCTGACTGCAAATTGGCCGCGAGCAGCGTTAAGAGAACAAGTTGGAATTGAAGAGAAACTCTGCGAATTGTCTAACCAAAGTGCCGCCAAATAAAAGAGAGTGAAGCCCACAAGGCTGAAAAGTAGGCAATATCTTAATGGTTAAATGGGCCTCTCTCTGCGCTTCTCGCGCTCACTTTGTCAGCCTAGCCAGTGAATGTCTGTTTGTATGTGTAAAGCTGTATGTTTGTAATGGGCGTGTGTGTTGCTAAGCTACTTAAATAATATATATTTAGACTCGGAATATTCTTATGTGCTCTCAAAAAAAAAAAAAAAAAAATCAATTATGATTATGATTATCATTAGGCATAGTAGAGAATATAAAAGGAATAATTACTATCGAGACCAAAGATAGCATCGCAAATAGCATCGAATAATGAGCGTAATTTTTCCATTGCTCCGTCTATAAAAAAAAAATGAAAAAAATAAACAAATTGTACAACTTATTAGTTGTTGGCGCCACAACTGATTTTTGTTTTGGTATTTTTTTTGGTATTCTTTCTTCTTTTTTTTTAGATTTTTAGTAGTATTTTATATATATATATATGTGTGTGTATGTATATAAAATTTGGTTTTTCTTTTCATATTTTTTTTTTCTTCAAACATGTCGTCGATGTTTCAAACAACAAACACATTTTGTAATCAAGAAAAATCAAAGGCAGTTGTCGAAGAAGAAGAAGAGTCGAATAAGTATGATCAAATGCAGGAAATTCGGTTTGTTAGTAATTCGACTAAGTGGGCGTGGCATATATATATATATAGACATATAAATGTGCCACGCCCGGTTAGTGCTTCAAATTATGACTAGGGCAACAAAACAAATGCGACATATAAGGAATATATATATACACATATACATATATATATATATTACACATATACATATATATATATATATATTACACATATACATATATATATATGTATATATATATTGCATATAGAGAAAACACAAACTACACGAAAATCTAAGGTTAATAAACTAAGTAAATTCTGGCTGTGCTTCAGTTTTCTGTTTGCTTCTTTTGTTTCTTTCAGTTCTAATTTAAACTAAACTAAATCAAATATAAGTTTATAAACTATAAGAAAATAAAATACATAAGACTTAAAATGAGCAAACAACAACAACAAAAAATATATATATTTATATAATATATACGAATTGAAAAAACATGAGAAACAAAATCACAAATATTAAAAAAAAAAAAAAGTTGTATAAATTTAAATTTCTTGCTGCCTTTTTTTTTTTGTAATTTCCATAGATGTCAATAATAAAAGTTTGTCTAAAAAGTCGCCTGAATGAATCAAAAAAAAAAAAAAAAAAAAAATTGTTATATATATTTATATATATAGAGTGTATAAAGGGGGAGCTGCATAGTTAGAATGATTTATGAGTATTTTTTAAACTGATTTTTCCAGTATTTGCCGAGATTTTCTTTTTGTATTTCTTAACACTGAAACAGCAGGCACAACACAACAAAAAAAAAAAACTAGAATGGAGCTAAGTTTGATTATAAAGAATAAACTTTACACACACACACACACATATATAAATGTATGTATGTGTGCGTGTGTGTGTGTGTGTGCGAAGCTGCAATCTTAACACCGAAAAAAAAGTAAACAAAAAAGATATGCATATATATACATTTATAGACGACAAGAAACTCTCGAGCGAGAATCTCGGCACACAATTTGTCACTTTTGAAGAAAAAAAAAAAAAAAAAAAAAAAAACAGTACCTTTTTTTTTTTTTGTATGATTGTTTTATGCATGATACACTTGCAAAAAAAATATGAAAAAAAATATTACAACATATATACAGTTTTTATTCATGTAGTTTTTTTTTTTTATTTTCTCTTTTTGTTTATAGTTTTATTTTTTGTTTTTGGAACTTTTGGCACTAGAACCGATAAGGGGGTGTTTATTTCTTTTTTTTTGCTTGACGCTTTTGTATTATTTTTTCGCTTCGCTTCAGTAGTTTAAATGCAAAAAAAAAAAAAAATATGTAAAAAAAAAGTTTATTGAACACTAAAAAAAATTGGGGGAAAAAAATGATATTTGTAGCAGAGCGCGTTGGAAAATAGCACATGAAAAAAAATACAAAAAATATAGCATGTTATCTGTTTTACGATTTAACATTGATCGATAACATGTCGATCGATAACAGCACGTTCAACTAAGCACCCCGTTATCGCTTCGTAAGTGCGCGCATACTTACCATGCGCCACGCCTGCATTTCTTTACAAGTCAATACAAGTATTTGTCTCTCTCTCTCTCTCTTTTAGTATCTTTTTGTCTCTCTCTCTCTCTCTCTCTCTGTTTAACCTCTTTTATCGTGTGCGTCTGTGAGCTGTGAACAAAAACCTGCTGCATGCGCGCGCGCCCCCTGGCGATCATTTGCGGCAAACACTTTTACATATTACGAACAACAACAAAATTTATATATATATGGAAGCGCACACATACAGCAACACGCACGCACGCACGCACGCACGCACACATACACACGCACACGCACACACACAGAACAGCCACGCATTGATTTACCGTTATACCACACACACTCAAAAAAAAATAAGTAAATACTTTTCGCTTGCATATTTTGTTTGCTGACTTTCAACAGCCAAAAAAAAAAAAAAATAAAAAAAATTTGTTTTTTTTTTTGTTTTGCGTTTTGTTTTTTATTCTTTTTTTTTTCTTCTCTCTCTCTCTCTATATATATATACATAGGTGTATATATATGTTTATATATAGGCATATATATATATATGATTATATATATTTAGATGATTAATCTTTTTGTTGTTTTTCTTGCGCTTCGGTCGGTCGGCGTTGTTGTTGCTGTTGCTGTTGTTGCTGTTGCTGTTGTTGCTGCTGTTGTTATTGTTATTGATTGTTTTTTTTTTTTTTTTTTTTTTTTTTGTAACGCACTACAAACTAAATAATTTAAAATTTAACGCTATTCAAGATATAGATACGATATATAGTCAATATATGGTATAAGGTATATATATATATATATATATATATATATATATATATATATATATGTAAATTTTACTTCGTTTCTGTATTTTTTTTTTTTAAATGTTATGAGAAAGATTTGTTGCTATTGTTGTAGTTATTGCTGTACTTGTTGTTGTTGTTGTTTCTGGCTGTTGTTGTTGTATTAAATCATAAATATGAAGCGATTGTGTATATTACTTATAGGCCAAAGAGGATGGATAAGTGTAACAAACAGGGCAACGCTTCATTTGTATTTATTAGTTTTTTTTTTTTTTAGGTTATGTGAATTTTGCGAATTTTCAGTTCATTTTCGAGTTAGTTCATTTTTGTTTGTTTTCTTTCGTTAAATTGGTTCATTTGGATTTGCATTACGTTTGTAGATTTTTGTTTGGCTTAGTTCTTCTTCTGCCTTAGCATTCCGTGTACTTTGCACAACAAAAACAAAAAAAAAAAATTATGTATATTGTTTCACGTTCATTTTTTGTTTCTTTTGTTTTGTTTTATTTGCGACGTGGGATATTCTGTTGCATTAGATATTTGCTTTCTTTCTTTAATCAGCTCAGTCCGTTATTTCGCACACATACACTCAAAAAAAAAAATATATATAAGAAGCAGTTATTTGTTTGTTAGCACAACTCTACATGTAATTACGAGTATATATGTATGTATATATGTATATATATATATATATAAAAAAATTGAATATATCTATTTGCTCTTATAGCACAATGCGCACTAAAAGCCTAAATGCAGCGCTGTAATTGTTAACTGCTATCGATATATTTATGTCGCTCGATTGTTATCGATAGACGTGTGCATGTACTGTTATGCGTTTGCTGCGTGACACGATCGTTGTTTTAAGGTTTCGCAGAACAATTTCTACGGCACTTGGGTTCGGTTTTCTAGTCATTTTTTCTGCATATTGCTATCATTTATCTTTATCTGTATACATGTGTATGTGTGTGGTGTGTGTGTGTGTATGTGTGTGGTGTATGTGTGTGTATCGATTGTTGTTTTTTTGGGGCTGCACTAAACTTAGAAAAAAGCTATACAAAAAAAAAACCATATATATATATATATTTATGATCTTAAAAAAAAATTGCCTGCTTGTTTTCTTTTTTTTTTTGCGGTTTTTCTGTTTTTCTGTTTCTCCAGTTTTTCGTTAGTATTAGCTAAAGTTAATTTTAATTTAAAAATACGCATTAGTTTCTTGTTTAATATTATTTGTTGTTTTTTTTTGTTTTTGTAATTTTTTCTTTTTTTTGTAAATTATCATTTTACACTAAAAATGGCCAAATCGACCATATATATATATATATATATATATATATATATATATATATATATATATTTATATATATTATTATAATATATATAGCAAACATTATTGTGTGTAATTTACATGGAAATTAGGAGAGAAAAAAAAATAACAAATAAAAAATTGCAACGAGAAATTTGTTTTTATGTTTTTTTTTTTTTGTTTAAAATAGTTATAGAAAATACGTTTCTAAATATGCAAATAATAAAGAACTAAAGATTATTATTATAGTTAAGTATTCTTATAATTGTTTTTTTTTTTTTTTTTTTCGTTTTTCGTTTTTCTTTTTTGTTTTGTAATTATTATTTTTGCTTAGATTTTCCTTAGATGTGGGGTTAGAGTTGTGATTTTGCATCTGTTTGTTGTTGTTGTTTGTCAGAAAAATATATATATATATATATATTTGTGTGTGTGTGTGTATTATATATACATAAGATTGTATGTATAACTGGTCTGTTGTTTGTTTTTATTTTTTTTTACGATTATTTTTTGATTTCCTGGTTTGTTTGTTTAGTTTTTTTTTGTTTTTTTTTTAGATAAACTTTTGTGCATCAAAGTACGGATGCGTTTTTTGGAAGCGCTGTTGTGATTTTAATGATCTACCTCTGTGAACCATATTATTGAAGCCGGCCGCCATGTGCGGCGGCGGTGGCGGCGGCGGCGGTGGCGCCTGCGGCGGTCCCATGCCCATTTGGGACATAAAGTGCGCTGCCTTTGCCTTGCCGTGCTCCTCGGCCAGGCGCACGGACAGCGGCTGGGATCCGCCCTCCGGTATGACGTTGTTCAGCGCCGAGATTGCCTCCTGTGCCTCCTCGCGTTTGTTGTAGCTGTTTTTGTTGTTGTTGTTGATTTGATTTTGATGATTTGTTTGCGATGCGAATCGATTTACCAAAAAAAATAACATAAAAAAAAAAACAAATATATAAACAAAAAAAAAAAAAACATAATGAGAGAGCATGAAAGAAAAATATTAAGATATTTATATATAAATATGATTAAAATGCAAGTTGAAGTGTTTAGAGCGAAGGCAACAAAGTGTTTGTTTTTTTTTATCGATTAGCACATGTGCGCGTTTTATCGATTAACAATTTTGATATGCGATTTTAGTCCGATTCACTTACCGTACAAATGCCACGCCCCTTGGCCGACCGGTCAGCTTGTCGCGCAATATATTCTTCTGGACAATGGAACCGTATTTGCCAAAGATCGTGTCCAGCTGATCATCGGTTATCGTGCGCGGCAGATTGGTCACATACAGATTTGTATCCTTGATCGATTCACCGCCAGGACGCGCATATGAAACCTACGAAAGAAGAGAGCATAGATTGAAAATACACTCAGCGAAATTCAAGAGAGTTGTGTTGTTGAAAACGTACCTTGAGCCGCTTATTACGCACTGTGATGCCATTGAGCACTTTGATCGCACGCTGCGAGTCCATTTCCGATGTGAAGTCCACGAAAGCATAACCAAAACTGTAGCCAGTCTAGAGGAATGTCAAGAAAGTGCGATTCAAATACGATTATGATCAAGTTTAAACTCATTTAGCTAGATAATGCAGCTTACAAATTAGAGCTTTAAGCTTTCAAGTAACAAGTCTAATGAGACTTAAATATTATAGTTGAGCTAAAGCTCTGATGAGCATGTAGCTAAACTAGTTTGTGAAAGCTTAAAGCTTTAATCGCTGGCCAGTCAGTTTATTCAAACGCGCTTAAAGCTCGGACAAGCTAGTTTAAAGCTTTGACTTAAGGCTTAAAGCTTTGGCTTATCAGGCTTTCTTACAGCTTTGACTGCTCTAAGAAACTTAAAGCTTTGACTTTTCTAGCTAGCTTAAAGCTTTGACAAGCCCTACGATTTAACTTGCAAATGTGTGCACGTATCTGAATAAAACTCGCTAGTGTAGTAAAATAAAGTTAGCTTAAAGCTATCCAAGCTTGCGCTCTAATTAATGGAAAACTCACCTTATAGTCTCTCATGATTCTGCACGTATTGATGGGTCCAATGGCTCGAAATAGGGCATACAGCTCGCGATCAGTCATATCCTGCGGCAGATAGTTGACTATCAAATTGGTGTTGCTGTTGCGCTGATCGTTCATGTGATCATCGCTGCCGCCGCTGCCAATCGATAGGCCGCACAGATTGTTCAGCGAATTGTTGCTGGCCATTGGCGGCATATTGCAGATGTTGCCGCCAAGGGAATTGGCGCTGCCGCCATTACCGCCTGGGAAATCATTGTAACCGCGACGCGACGAGGAACTTGGAAATGTAAATTCTGTGTCCTGTGGTGAGAACGCATAACGTGACTGTAATCAAATTAACCATACAAAGATATTCTAATGTTGAGAGCACGCCTCATAAACGCTTTAAGGTACGACTTCAGCTTCAGCTTCAACTTCGATTTCGATGACTGTCGCGATACACAAACATTTTCTCAGCAGCAGCATTAACAACAACACACGCACACACTCGCGCACACTCTCACACACACACACACACACACAAAGTTAAATTTCTACATATTGTTGTTTAAGGCAATTAATTAAGTTGCAGCAAAATTGAGTTTAAAGTAAAATAGTTTTGCTTGAGATAAATTGTTTGAATGTAACGTGCGTACTTAACAGTTGCTATTTAACAGACGCATGTTAACTTTTAACAGCGCTCAGCGCTGGTGCAAAACAATTGAGCACAGCTCTTGCTGTTAAGTTTTAATGTTTGTGTTTGTGTGCGTGTATGTATGTGTGTGTGTGTGTGTGTTTATGTATGTGGGTGTAACTGCATACACATAACGGCATTCAGCGTTACACTTCGAAGGCAAACGGAATTGCAAATTGTGAGCATTAAGCATAAAAGATGAAAAAAAAGAGAACTGCCAAAGAACATGTGAATAGGAAAACGAACGAATGCTCTAAAAGCCGCTTAGGGCCGGGTATATATGTGTGTGTGCGTGTGACATGTTTGTGTATGCGTGTGTTTCATCGATTTTGATTGGCCGCAACAGCACAGAAGTAGTGAGTGTGTGGGTGTAGGGCAGGGGAGGAGGTTGTGGTTAGGGGAAACGGAAGAGCTTGGACAGCACAAGGCTGTTTTTCTTCTTCTTGTTGCAAAGTATGCAATGAAATGTTGTTGCTGCTTTTATGTTGTTGCTGTTAAGTTTATACTGTTGTGTTGCTGTTATTGGTGTTGCTGTTAAGTATTTACTGTTGTGTTTCTGTTATTGTTGTTGATTTTAAGTTTTTAAGTTGTTGTGACTTTAGTTTTCTTTTGTTTTTATTTATTTTCGACCAAAATGCAAATTTCAAGTTTAAGTATTATTTATTTTGGGATAATTAATTTACTTTCTGTTTAAGTTAAAATATTTTGTACAAATCAAATGTTGAGCATCCACAAAATGAAGTTGATTTTTATTTAACTATTTTTTTTTTATTTTTGATTTTTTCATTCTGATTAAAAGCGTGTGTGCCCCAGGAGCGTTCAATGAGACAAACTCAATAACATTCAACTAGAATAAATTTAAATATATTTTGCATAAACATACAAAAACGAAAACCAAAAAAATGTCAATTATCAATGCAAATGGCAAATTTCTGTTTATTAAATATTCTTTATTATTAATTATTTTTAATTGTATTTTTTTTTTCTCGTATTGCACATGCAATGAAATTTGATTGATTTGATTGATTTCGAACTTTATGTTCAAATAAAATATAAAAATTTATTGTATTCAAAAAATAGAAATTGAAATAGGAATACGTACCATTCCAGATGGCAGTGAATGTGACATGCCAAATACACGCCCACCGCTGTTGATTGAACGTTTGATTGATGATTGAAGAGAAGAAAATATCGCATATTAGCATATTATATTGTTAAATTTTCCAGTAAATGATTAAAAATAACAAAAATCATAATTTAAGTTTAAAGCGCAATTTACTTATGGTTTTTTTTTTCGAAATATGAGCAAGAAATGTTTTGTATGAATGTATGAATGAAATTTCTTACGGAACTAACTTATTGAGCTTAATACCAATGAAAGAGACTTAAAGCAAGTCAATGTTAACAGCTGTTAACTTAGCAGAGCCTCGCAAAGCACCGTTAGGCCACTGTTAAGCGCCAAACAGCGCGCTGTAAAGTGCTCTGTTAACGAATACAGCTTCAATCATTGACCCAAGATTATTCACTACGCTTATATTATATAAAAAGAAACTAATAACAACAGTTTGGAAATACTCTGAAGAGGCATTTGTGTAATTCATAGCAGCCTTTTGGGCGCTCAGGGTGTGGAGAGAAGGTGAAAGGTGATTTGCTTGTGAAAAGGCAGCAGATGCCAAGAACCAGTTTTTCAAAATTCGCATTAACGAATATTTAGAGAAAATTGGAACTTGATCTGCGCAATGCTTGAAATACCGAGAGATGAAAAAAAATACGATAACCTAAACGATCAAAATTGATTTTAGGTTTTACTTTTACACCCGTAAATTGACTTGTGAACACCTAAAAAAAATTGTTTGGCACTTCAAAAAAAAAAAAAAAAAAACAAAATAAACCAACCGCAATTTTATTAACATTTTACGTTATATTTGCACTGCTTTACACTGAAAAAAAAAAATATATATATATATAATAAATGCGGACACACATTTTTTGAAATTTGTACATTTTTGTTGATGCACTTGAAAAAAATTGAAAAAAAAATATCGATATTTCTTTTATTCTTTTCACACTGGAAAAAAATTTGAGCTAACGCTGAAAAACCTTTAAGAAATTCGGACGCAAACTTGTTGCAAGTTTTATATGGAGCACTTTAAAAAAAATCGAAAAAAAAAACTCATTTCAGTTGCACTGAAAAAAAGGGGGAGGGAAAACCCTGCGGACACACATTTGAATGAATCTTCAAATTCTTGCCATGCACTTGAAAAAAATATAAAAGAAAAAAAATAATAATTTGTTGCTGCACTCGAAAAAAATATTTTAAAAAAATTCCAAAAAAAAAATAAAGGAAAAACATCTTCCCGCGTAGACACAGTCTAAAGAAGAACTGTGTTTGCTGTTGTTGTAGTTGAATGATGCAGGGAGACTTTTGTTCAAGTGTATTTTAAGTGTCTAGTTTAACTTAGGAATGCATGAATTCAATTTATTTTTGTTTGTTTGTTACTTTTTTTTTTTTGTTTGTTTGTGTTTATTGTTAAGTTATGGTTAAATGTCTAGTCTTTACTTACAGGCGTTGACGGCGTCTTCGTTTAAGGAACATTTTGTTGGTACTTCACAGAGTTATCACACCAGTTTCTTAAGTTTTCTTTTTTTTTTTGTTGTTGTTTTTTTGTTTGTCAAACAATAATTATAAGTATAAGCACCGAAAAAAACCACACTACATACAATCTAAATGTTTGTGTCTGTCGTTTTCGCTGTTGAGATCGCTTGAAAATGCTGCTTGGCTGTTGCTGTGAAAAGAGATCATGTCTACACAATTAAATCAACTGGCAAATATCGATAAATCGATTAATCAATGCTTTGGCGGCTGTTGACATCGTGATACAGTTTTACGCTGTTTGCGAGCGGGGAAGGGTTTTGGTGGGAGCGTGTGTGTGATGGTCAAAGTGTGTGTGGGCGTGTATGTGTTTCTGTGTGTGTATATCATATTTTACTCTTCTTGCCTTTTCGAATTCATATATTGTGGGTAAGAAAAAAAAAAATAACAATTTTGTGGGCACATGAAAAAAAACAACAAAAAATTCCTTAAATTTGCTTCCGCTGGTAACACTGGCAGCTAATGTTATTGCTGATGCTACAGTTGGTCTGCTGTTAACAGAAGTAGCTGCTGCTGCTGCTGTTGTTCTGCTGTTAACAGAAATAGTTGCTGCTACAGTTGTTCTGCTGTTAACAGAAGTAACTGCTGCTGCTGCTGCTGCTGTTGTTCTGCTGTTAATGCAAGTAGCTGCTGTTAATTAAAGAAGAAGCCGCTGCTTCTGCTGTTGCTGCTGCTGTTGTTGTTGCTGCTTGTTGATTCTTGTTGATTGTTGATATGTTGATTGTTGAATGTTGACATTGATGTTGTTTCTACTGCTGTTGTTGTTGCTGCTGCTGCTTTGTTGTTGTTGTTGCGGCGCAAGGCCTTATTCTCATTATAATTATATTTTCATTTTTGTTGGTTTTGTTTTCGACAATGATTCGCTGCTGCGACGGCTGCTGTTCGCAGCCATTACAGCGCTTAAGAGCGAGACGCAGTTATGCAATCTAATAGGCAGTTCGTCTGTTATGCATTGGACATATATGGAGACGTTCGTTGTGTAGGTGTGTTGGTGTTTGTATGTGTGTTGGTGTGTGAGTGTGTACGTTTACAACAACAACAACAACTGTTGCTGTTGCGCTGCTTACAATCTAACCAGTTACTGCTAACTTACATATATACATATACATAACTTAAGCCTAACAGTGCTGCTAATGTTAACGGCTGATGATGCTGTTGCTGCTGCTGTTAAGCATATGTCAAGGTCCTGACACAATTTGCGAGCACGTGACACGCACAAGTGCGCTCCCTCTCTCTCTCTCTCGGAGTCGTTTGTTTACATTTGAGCGCACGCAGTGCATAAAGAGAAAAAAAAAAAAGCAAACTATGCCTGATGACGCCAGCAGCTGCAAAGTTCATTGGGTGTCACAATTCGGAGTGCATGCTCGCTCTCTCGCTCTCGCTCACACCCAGTTATGAAGTGCGGCAACAGCGCGCACATTGCATATTGCTTTTGGCAATAAAATGAAGTTAAATCATTCGGCACAAGGACCCAGCCCAACAGCAGCCGCACCATAAAACAATGCCAGAGGCGCCGTAACGACTTGCCCCACTTGGCGCAAGCCGGGTTTACAAATAGGTCAACTACGGACACAAGCACTCGGCTCACGTGTGCACGTGTGTGCCTGTCTGTGTGTACAGCAAAAAACAGTCGGAGGGGGGAAAAAAAAAACGAAGTCGAGAATTTCGCTTAAACTTATTAACAGAGCTTAACCTATGCTATTGTGAGCATGGAGCGAGGGGAGGGGGTGCAGGGCGCGGGCGGCGACGTGTGAGTGATGTGAGAGAAAATGCGTTTCGGATGAAATTCTGATTCGAGTGAGTTTCAATTGCACAAAGCGAATACTTTAAGGAGTGCAAAATGAAAAAGCATTAAGTAGAAAAACAAACTGAATTAGTTGAGTTTTGTTTGCTTTTTAGTTAACAACATTTACCGGTACATCGTGAGGCTGTTAAGGTTGCACAGGCCGCACCACGAAAACGTTGTTAGGCCGTTACGTTAATCCTCGGGGCCAAAAAGAAAATCAACGAATCAAATGGTTTCAAATCCCGTCGGAACGTGAAATGTAGCCGTATTATAATAAGGCGCGTTTTTTCATATTGCTTTGATTTCGGTTTTCATTTAAATGCAATGTTACAATTACAGTTACGTTCGTGTGGAAGAGCTTGCGTTACGTTGTTGACTTGCCTTACGTTACGTTACGTTACGCTACGTTAATTTATGTTAAATATAGTTTGATTCTCTTTGTTGTTTTTGTTTTTGTGTTTCTTTTTTTTTTTTTTTTTTCTTTCGTTTAATGTTAACATTCATGTATTTATCACAATTTGATTGCAAGACACTACGAACAGAACGCGACGCGTTGCGTTACGTGACATGTTGCGTTACGTGACGTTAGCGATGCGATGCGCTGTAGAAAATCGTGTCAGTTAAATATACGTATACGATATATGCGATTAACATACGTGAGGAACAAATCAATGTACATGAAAACGACGTAACTAACGTAAAAACGTAACTGTAAATATGTCTAGCATATGATGAGCTAAAGAGAGAGCGCAAAAACCAAAGCTACGGCAAGAGTATAAAATATGGAGCGCAACAGCTTCCGAAACAAAATGTTGTAGAAGGATGCACATGTTCAACTCTAGAGGGCGTATTGAAATGAGCTTAAATCATAATTATGTGTGACTTAATTTTTTTTATTCGGGGCGGGGGGGTGGGTGGTGGGTTGGGATACGTGTCGAATTGTATATATCATATTTCAAATTGATTTCTCTCTTCTTCAATTTTTTACTTTTATAGTTGAAAACCTGCCTGAGTACGGTACGAGGAGACTGCTTTTTGCTGTACTGTGCACACGCATTATTTGTTTTGAGGTTAGGTTGGGCTGCATTTTGTGCTTAATTGAATTATTGACTGTACAATCTAGTACATATCAGATAAATAAGACTTGTTGTTGTTTCTGCTTTATGCAATTGCTGTTGTTCTTGTTATTGTTGTTGTTGTTGTTCTTGTTATTTTTATCGTAGCACACTCAAGGGTTTCCATTGTTGCGGGAAAATACATTTTCTTTTTAGTAGATAAAAATAAAGAAAATGTGTGCGTTTGTGTGTGTGTGTGGGTGTGGGTGTGGGTGTATAGAGGGGTTGCATATTGGGTTTGATGTATATTGATAGGGTCTGTTCGGTTTTTTTTTCTTTTTGTATTTCTGTCTCTTCTGTGCTGTCAAGTGCACATGTGACACACGAGCAGCAAATGGCGTCAATCAATAGCAGGAAATGTGGGCGAAAGGTATTTCCGCCCACATGCTTAACGATTGCTCTGCCATTATTTTCCCTTGCAGCCGGCTTGTGCCACATGCGGCACATGCCACATCTCACAAAAAAAAAAAAAATTAAAAAAAATTCACATATATACCAATGCATACAGCGAGCTTGCCAGATCAATTTTAGAGCCTAGCAAAAAAAAAAACAACTGGGGTTTTATCTAAGTCTAGAGTCAGCTGCAAAGTAGGCAGCAGAATTTTTAAAAATTTTAACTGCTAGTTAAGGATCAAACTGGGAGGCAAAAAAAAAACTATAAAGGGAAATTTTTGGGAAGTGGTTTCTGTGTGCGCTAAAAAAAAAAAAAAGAACTTTGCACGTTAATTGCAGTAGTTGTGTTTGTGTGTATTTGTATTTGTGTATGTAAAGGGAAATTTTTCATCTGGGATATTTGTGGAGTCGGGAATTGGGAAGGGTTTTTTTTTATTGCTGCTGCAGTGTTTTTGTTTTTGTTGTTGTTGTTGTTGTTGTTGGAATGCTTGAAGATGAAGAAACTGAAGTTAAAATTTACCTCGACTTGTTGTAACCGTATGGGGGATAACCACCGTTATTATTGTTACTACCCGGATTATTGTTGCCGTACATATCCTGAGAGTGTGTGTGCACGAGTATTTTTTGCAAAATACTCTCAGTGCGCCGTTATTTTGTTTTCTTGAAGGTATCGGTTGTTCTGTCTCTCTCTCTCTCTCTCTCTTGGTCGCGTTCTCTCGCACTTGTCTCACTTGACGTGATCAGAGAGCTTCTATTCTTGCTCTCTCGCCTCTCTTTCTTTGTAGTTGTTTGGCGCTCAGCGCTCTCAGCTGCCAGCTGCTGTTAATTTCACGTAATGTATATATATATATATATATATACTATTTGTCTCGTCTGCTTTGGCTGTTGTGTGAGTGAGTGCGGGTGTTGGCATATATGTATGTCTGTCTGTGTGTCTGTGTGTGTGTATATGAGAGACTCAGTTGTTGCTTGGATGTGTGTGCGTGTGTGTGTGTGTGTGTGTTATCTTGTATTGCCTGCCGAGAGCTTTGACGCTCTCGTCGTAGACAATGGTCGCAACACGGGAACGCAAGCAATTGCGATTTAAGCCTTTTGTTTCCTTCCTTCCAGCCACAGTACAGTTACTCAATCTGTCTCGTTCTATCTGTTAGTATCAAATAATTTGGCGGGCGTTCTCTCTCTCTCTTTCTCTCTCTGTCTCTCTTTTTCTCTTTTTGTAGACTGTTACGTTTGGCGCTCTTCTTTGTGGCTGCAGTTGTTGTTCTTGTTGTTGGCGCGCTCAGCTGTGTTGTTGTTGTTACTAAGGTTGTTGTAGTTGTAGTTGTAGTTGTTGTAGTTGGGAGTGAGAGGTGAGAAATTGGTAAGGAAATTAACATATGATCAAAGAGACGTGCATTACGCGCTTTTCTGTGTGTTCTCTTATATTATGCGTGTGCGTGCGTGCTAATGTGTGTGTGTGTGTGTGCGCGTATTTGTATGCATGTGTGTGTTTGTGTGTGTGTGCGAGCGAGTAACTTATGCTGATACTAAAATAAATGCTAAGTACTTAAAAGAGCAAGCTTTAACATTAAGCATATTACATAACAATAACAGAATATAGATACATGTATGTGTGTGTGTGTATACATTCGAAGAGCAGCAGAGTTGCCAACTCAGACTTCAAAAGTGAAAAGAAGCTACTAGAGTTGCAGCTCAAAAGTGATATTAAAATATAAATATATATAGAGTTGTCACCCAGCTTACAAATATGTAACATATACATATAAGAAAGCGATCAGAGTTAAATGCGAGCAGAGTTGTCACGCTGACATATGAAAAAGCGCAGAGTTTTAACCCCGTTTAGATTTTCATATCATATAATGTACAAAATAGAGAAGCAGAGTTGTCACCCAACAAAGACGACGAGACAAACATTTAAATAAATCTCGACTATGAACCATAGAAAAGACAGCGACCAGAGTTGTCAGCTTGTCAAAATTCAGACCAAATGCTGTAAATTTGAGGAAAAACAAATATTTCGAAAACCAAAATACAAAATTGCGCTTAAAACAAATACATCTAGAAGAGTGCAATACTAGAGCCTGGCCACATACCTTGCCATCTTGAAGTTATAATAGGACGACATGGTCGTCGAGGGTGTCACAGTATCAAAATTGAAATCCATTTTTAAGGATATTGATTAAATATAGATAGAGAGATTTTATGTATCACACACACGGCAATTATTACGAATCACAATTTGGTTTTCTATGTTTTTGGGCACAAGTTAGACTTGACACGAGTAGAACTCGACTGAAGTCAGAGTGGAATGTGCGTAGCTATTTAAACGATCGCTAAAAAGGATCTGCGCCCAATGGGCGGCGACCCACAACTACCTGGACCCACGGAATATTGGCCGCAAGGTGCGCGTGCCAGACGCGTGCGCTACCTGTTGACAGTGACAGCATGAACCCAGCCCAGCCCAGCCCAGCGCAAGCCAACCCACCCACCCGATCAGGAGCCGATCTACTAGGAAGTGTGCCGTCTTTATGACGGACTTTTCGCTCCGCCGGCTGCAGTTCAGCTCGGTTCAGAGAGTTCAGGCAGGCAGATGTTTTGTCTTCTCGGAAGCTCTCCTCTGCTCACCGTCTCGCCTCACGCAAGGTGGCAAGCTGCATGGAAAACAAAAAAAAAAATACATATGCAAAGGTGGAACACACGAGACGCACAAGCTGCAAACTGATTTTTACTTGGAAGCAAGCTGCAAAAGATTTCTCGATGGAAAACTGAGCGAGATTTACGGGGAGAACTAATCAAATCGATTAGAGGCTAGTTAAGCGTATCTCATACCAAGATTTAGGAACCCGACAAAAAAAAATTATATAAAAAGTTCTAAACATCATAGAAAACATTTTGATATAATAATCATATAAGACTTGATATATTTTGATAATATATTCATTTACGCGGAAATAAAATCGATTAGAAATTACTTCGTTATGTGGAAAGATTAAGGATTACGATAAAAGATATAAAGTTATTGATAATGCCAATTTGGCATAGATTAGTTCGAGATATATTTCACATATTGAGACATAAGAGTAAAAAGATATTTATGAGTAATTAATCAAATCTTTGCGATATTTCAGATAGTCGAGGATTATGCCAAAAAAAAAACATTTGGAAAACTTAGTTTCAGGCATAATCAAAATATTGTACATGAATAAATACTTAATATATATTCATTTGCGAGAAACTAAACAAATCGATTAGAAACGAGTTAAATATATAGAAAATATATGCCAAATATCATCAGGTGTAAGGAATGTCGAGAAAAGAGTTTTGGAACAACTATTTAATTGAATCAGAAAGAAAGTTCGATAAGGAAAACTCTTAAATTTCTTTGATTGGCATAAGCATAAAAATTAGAGAGAGATCCCAAAGGAATCCAAAGAAATGCCCTTAAGGAATTAATGGATCAAACAGATATTTCGCGCATTATGAAACGATTCGTTTTTCAAAAAGTGATCTTAATCAAAAGAATAAACATATATTTACTATATAGACTTCTTCGGGCGAACAGTTACGGAAAGGCTCTACTAAAATATATATACTCATTTTTTTAAGTTCCAGGCTTTAGGTCTACTAATTTCTGTATATCAATAATTTCCGTAATATACGCATAAGATTTTATTACAATTTTATTCCGAACGAAAAAAAAAAACGATGCATAATTTTTGCACATTTCGAAATTGCCTTTTGTCAGGCCTGCAAACGTTTTCCCGGTATTCCGTGCGGGCATTTTCCAACAAGCTCAGCTAATGACAGCTCGAATATCACCTGCTTTCCAGGCAGCTGCATTCTCATGTGGATTGAGCTAAAGTCACAATTGTGATTCTCCATCAAATTTTGCCAATATTCGTTCGAATATATTGAATAGCAGCGCATGATATAACGGATATTACGGATAGTGTCCCAGTGGGATTACGATTATCGTACCCAAATCGTAGGGTATCCACAGATGATAAGATTCCAGATTCCAGATTCCAAAGACAAAGCAAATGCAATGCAATTGTAACGAGTGGGGGTTAGTTCTCCGGCGCATGTTCCACTCCAAAAGAAAGAAAAACGAATATAAAGGAGACAAAAAAAAAATACAGTTAAGCCGAAATTGAGGACAGGCCAACGCAGCCACCAACCCCCCACCCCCCTGGCTGGACTATAAATGCGTTGCTGCGTAAACGCCCTAAAGGTGGCGCAGGGGGTTGCTTAGTTAAGTGGAGGGGGTTGGAGCGGGGTTGCAAACGAACAGGCAAGTGCCATTGTATGTGTATGTAATACTAAAGCACAGACACACGCACACACACAGCTATATACTGGCGTATATAACGGCACAATATATATGGTACATAAGAGCTACGCGTTCAAAAGGGCGTACATAGCCGAAAAGAGAAGGAAATGGTGAAAAGCAAAACCCCATACAAAAACAATTGACAAGCAGTGTAGAGAAGGGAGACTTGTTACTGTTGTTGTTGTTGCTGCTGCTGCGAGCGAAACAGACGAAAATGGGAGAACGCTTAAAGAACCAAATTGTTTTAGCTCGCAAAAAAATAGTAAAAATACGAAAAAGCAGAGCAAGAAGTTCATCGTGTAGATACATATGTAAAACAACGTGAATTAACGGTGAAAGCAAACAAGGCTAAAAATCAAAACAAAAAAAAGAAAGTCACACGCCAACAGCGCACGTTCGACGGCGTCGAAGAGAGCAACTCAGGCCAATACGCCATAAGCCAGAGCGAGAGCGGAAGCGAGAGCGAACAGCAGATCTTGCCAATATCGTGTCGAGCATTAAATACTCTTCACAAATATGGAATTTATTTTCTAAACAGTCGAGGCTAAGACAACGGAGTGATATAATATTTTTGATACAAAATATCATTGTAACTCTGCCTCGTCTGACATACACACATATGTATGTATTCAAAATATATATATGTATTCCATATGTAGTCAACACTGTTACGCATTGCATGACATAATACATATATACTGCTGCCAGCGGCAAGGGTGTAACAAAAGACATTGCATTGAGCTTTGAACAGTAATCGAGCGGTTCGAAACGCAAATGCGTGCATGCATACATACGCACACATATGTAACTGCGTATGTGTGTGCCCAACTGCTGCTGATAACGGCAAAATGCAAAACTCAGTCAAGGAAACAAGAGCCAGCGCACACACACACACAGCACTTATTACAGCCGCTCAGCTGTGAACGTAAATTACAGGGGGATGGGGACAACAATAACGAAATAACAACAACAGCCAAAATGAATGAAAACCCAGCGCAGAGTTGCCAGACGTGATCGACAAAAACAAAACGAATTGAGGAAGAGACGGAGATGGCATACGGCAAGGCCGGCATTCCAGCTGATTCTATGTATGCATGTACACACACACATATATATATATATATATATTTGTATATACACATGTGCATACATATGCACACTTGAATTATATATGAGCACATGTTGTTGCACTTTCAACTGGTCAAGCCCCACCGCCTCCACTCCCCTACCCGATCAGATCACCAACGCATGCAGCGAGTAAGACAGGTACTCGCACATTTATCGCTCTTCGATCGTTGCTCTCATAAGAGGCGAATGGCCAACGTCACAGGAAGTGGGAGCCGAAATGGAGACATGAAATGTGCAAGGCGGAGTAACAGCAAAAAAAAAAAACTATGGAGAATGCGGCAGCTGTCACAAAAGCGTTTGCCGACTCCCTCTGCTCGCCACGCTCGCTCTCTCCATTACCCTGTCTCTTGCTCGCTCTCTCTCTCTCGCTCTCTCTCTCTCGCTCTCTCTTCGGCAGCTGCATGGGAACGGCAACGGCAACGGCAATTCGAGCGGGAGACAAACAAAAAATTAAGTGAGTGCAGCATGCACGAAGGCTGCCGCGACTACCTGCATGGCAAAAATAAGAAGAAGAGAGATGAGCAGCTTACACACACACACACAGGCACACATATGCACCTTTTCTTCAATGGAAAAATGGCCATAAAATCGAGATAAATCCAGCGCAATTAAAGCGGGCGCGCGTGTGCCGGTTAATATTGTTTGTATTAAACAGCAGCGTGCCAACTTTTATGATACACCAAGCGAATCGATCGAGCTCTCTCTCTCTCTCTCTCTCTCGCTCTGTGTGTGTGTGCAGCGTTTAACTAGAGCGAAAACCGTTCAGTGCGAGAGCCAAGTCCTGTCATTGCACAGCCCTAAAGTAAACGTTGCCAACATTTTGTAATTGTTGTTGTTGTTGTTTTTGCAGCAATTATTGTAATTGTTATTGTGCACAAAACAATAAATAAACAACAAATTGCATGCACATAAAATGATTTGTTATCTTATCGCATAAAAACAACAGCTGCTCCGTTACAGTGCAGTGCCAGACAAGTGATGCCGGCAATAGAAAATTTCTGTTATAATTTGCAATTTTCAAAATTTCTATTTACTTTTTTTTTTTTTTTTTTTTTTGCTTGCAGTAGAACAATCTGGCAGCATCGACGAACAGTTAAGCAAAAAGAAAGATTTCTAACCGGAAACAGAGAAACGCAGGACATGTAAAAAAAAAAAGGTGCAGTTAGTTTAGGTAGACGAAACAGCCAGACAAGAAACGGCGCAAACGTGACATGCACGCACGCACAAACACATACAAATATATGTATATATGTATGTATATGCAAGTCTCTTAGTTTTCGCAGTTTGCAGCCTAGCCAATGGAATCATCAGTGTGTACACACTCTGCGCGGCAAAGCTTGGCCCGTGTGTACGCTTAGCAGCGCGCGCATAAATGGTAACATTTAACTGGACGCGACTGTATGCACGCGCTTTGTTGTTGTTTCTTCTGCAGCTTGCAAGTGTTTGCCGTTCCCTTTTCCCCCTAAACGTTTCGTAGCAACAGCAAAATGGTATAAAGAAAAGGAATAAAAACAACAGACGGCAACTCGATTTAACCAACGTTGCCACTGAAATGAGTCACAAGCGAAAAGAACAAAAAAGAAAAAAAAAAAAGCATATGTGCACTCATACAAGTACATAAGCATAGTTGTATACATACATACATACATATATATTAATGCACATACGTTGTGTAAAATGTTGTCAATATTCTGATAAACTTACTGTAATATGCTTGCTGTTTACCGCTTACTCTTTACTATGGTTATTGTTGTTGTTTGTTGTTGCTGCTTCGAAAAAAAAAAGAACACTCATTTGATGCTAACGGAAAATAAATAAAAAAAAAAAAAACCAACAGCATGAATAGAAAAAAAAAAAAACGCTGCAAAGCCACCATGTTGCTGGCTTGACAGCAAGGGGCAGGGGGCGGTGCGCTTAGCAGAGCCAACAGCGCAGACATACACACACACACACACAGGCACATAAATACACGACGCACACAAGCCCAAACGCGCTTCGTTCACTCACACGCATTCGTCATCGACGCTAACAGCGAGTAGCGGCGGCCTCAGTGAACGAGGACGTTGTGAATGTGTATGTGTGTTTATGTGCTATGTGTATGTGTGAGTGCGCGCGTACGTTTTCAGCGGCTCGTTGCCATTTTTGCTTTGCTGCTGTTCGTCTTCTGCTATACTACAGTGCACTACAGAATTATGCTGACTACTCTAGAAATGCGCATAATCATTATACATATATATACATGCATATATGTATATACATATATATTTTGAGAATTTTACTTAACAAGCTTAACAATATTGTTGGCAAATGAAAAATGCGATGCACACTTTTGGTACGCACTGTAACAGAGCTCGTTTGTTTTATGTGTGTATGCAAGCACACAAAAACACATGCATATGCTGTTCTATAGTAAACATCACTTTGTTGCACTTTAAAATGCACTTCGTTTTATTGTGCATTACGTTTAATTCGCATTTCTAGCCCGTTTTAACACCAACAAACAACAACGGTGGAAAAAAAAAAAAAAACAAAACAGCGAGTAACTGCTACAGTTACTCAAAAATGCTGCCCTGCTGCTACTCGTTGCCTTCTCGCCGACACACACACACACACATACATACACATGCATACGTAGTAAATGATGTGTATGTAATACAATATAAAAAAAAAATAAATAAATAAAATAAAAAATTGAAGCTTTTTGTTGTACTATATGGAATGCAATTAACTACGCATGTATTTTTCAATGATCGATTACTTAAAAAAAAACATAATTTATATGCAATATTTGTTTTGCGTATATTTCACAATGTCTGCGTGTTTTCATTTTCCATTTTCTCTTTTCGTCGATTCATTTCTTTTTTTTTTCAGCTTCTTTATATACACTTCACGTCACGCTAAAACCCATTGTGGGCCCTAGTACATACATACGTACAATATGTATGTACATGCACACGCATGTGTCTGCATACGTGTGTGTATGTATATTATATTGTTTTTTTTTTTAGGTAAGCTTTCTTCTTTGATTGCACGTAAATGTCTGTGTTGTCTGGCCAGTCGATTGGACCATAAAACGCATACGAAAATATTGCATTGTGTATATTATTGCAAAAAAAAAGAAAAAAAAATAAAGAAAAAACAGTACAAAGTGGAGAAAAAAAGGTTACCAGAAAAAAATGCACTGCGCGCGGCGCTACAAATTTCCTTTACAGTTCACAGCCGACAAAATGATACTGAAAGCGTGACCGACTCGAGCATGGGCAAAAAAACATAGCGACTACAATGCCTCAGTTGTGTATGCAAGTCGGTCACACTGCACAATGTTAAGCTCAATTGGGGCTGTTAGTTATCGATAGCTTTTGTAAGCCCTGCAAAGTAAAGCTAGTGCGCTTTGATGCTCTCACTTGCTTGAGGGTTAAGCAAAAATGCACACTAACTATATTTTAAGAAGCAAAAGTTGTATACATTACAAAAATCAACCATTTTTATTAATTGAATTACGCGACAAAACCAACATACAGTCTGTAGACGCGCTGTATGGCTGCTGTTAACGCAGTGTTAAGCCGATTACCAGACTGTCAACATTTGAACAGCTGTTTAACACTGATCTTTCTGCGAACAGCGCAAGCTTAAGAATATTTTGAAAAAAATGAGAAAAAGATGAATAAATTAATTACATTGAGTACGGGCAGTCTTCAGACTCTATATGTTAATAATACTTAAAACTTGCCGTTTATTTCGTATGTCTACAAATTTCGAATACTACGATTACGACTTAATTTACAATCATTAACGACTAAAAAATAAATGTTTTTGAGTTCCAGTTACGACTACATTTTGTATCAGTACGTAGCATATATATATATACATACATATATATATACGATCTTCGCGCACACACATATATATATATATATATATTTAGGAGTATACTTAATCAACAAAAAAAAAAGTCTTTCTATATATTAAATATATATATATATATATAATCTAGAGTTAAAAAAAAAAAAAATAAACAAATTATTTTATAGTTATAATTTACAGTTACATAGCAGTCCAAATCCGATTTTTTTTTTTTATAGGAGCTAAAATAGCAAAAACCGATAAAGCTATACAAATGTAACATTTGCTTTCATTTCTTTCAGTGTGCTTGTGTGTGTTTGCGTGCGTGCGAGAGTGTGTGTGTGTGTGTATGGGGGGGGGGGGGGGGGGGGGGTCATTTATAATCATAAACATAATGCTACAAGTCTTTTCAGTAGAGGGGCAGAGGGGGGGGGGGCGCATAAATTTCATTCAAATTGTTCCTCTTCACTTTTCCCACTATTTTGCCCATTATTTGCTTTTCTTTAGTTAATTATTGCGATTTCGATGGCCGCCGCCGCCGCCGCGATTGCGATTGCCAACAAAATGGCGCCCCTGATTGCCATTGTTGCCACCCGGTCCGAAGTTCTTAAAGGGTCCAGGTCCAGGTCCAGGTCCAGGTCCAGGTCCAGGGCCAGGTCCAGGTCCAGGTCCGCCGCCGCCATTGAACGCGACGCCCAAATTGTTCATGTTCATGCCATTCATATTATTCATGCCGTTCATGTTCATGTTATTCATATTGTTCATATTGTTCAGATTGTTCAGATTGTTCAGGCTGTTCAGGCTGTTCAGGTTGTTCAGGTTGTTCAGGCTGTTCAGGTTGTTCAGGTTGTTGCCGCCGGCAAACGGATTGAACGGATTGCTGTTCATCACGCCCATCACGTTGGGCACATTGGGCGGCATGCCCAGTATGCTGTTGGAGCGCTGCGGGGGCGGCTGATTGAAGGGCGGCATGCCGCCGCCGCCCATGCCCATGGGCAGCATCCGGTTGACATTTGGCGGCGGTTGCCGCAGCATTTGCACCAAATTGGGCGGCGGCTGTGACATGTTTGGCAATATGGGCGGCATGTTGGGCACACCGACGGGCCCGCCCACATTCTGGGGCGGCTCCTCGGGCAGCTGAACGACCAGGCCATTGTCATCGATATAGATGTGCAGCTTGGCAAAGATCTGCTGGAGCGTCTGATTGTTCACTATGAAATTGACATCGAAGATCTTGTTGGGCGATTCCTGTTGATGGAACTTCTTCAGTTCGGTAAAGACCAGCGCCAGCTGCTGATTGACCATGATCTTGTTGTTGCTGCCCAGATTCTTGTACCAGTTGGAGCTCTGCAGCAGATTGCGTATCTCCGAGATTTGCCGGCTGCTATCATTGACCGCTGCCACGCCCCCCGAAACGTTGCCGCTGCCGCCGCTGTTGCTGTTGCTGCTGCTGCTGGTGACATTTAAATGCGCACGTCGCGGATCACGACGCGGATCGGCACGACGCGGATCGCCGCCGGAGGCAACTGGCCCGGTTCCCAGCGGCTCGGCCAAAGGCAGCGGTTGAGCATTCCCCGCCGACGACACAGGCGGCGGTGAGCTGGGCGTGGAGTCGGCCATCTGTGCGTCCGGCGAGGCGATGCAGTTGCTCGTCTTGCGCTCGCGTCCCTCTGTCGCGTATGCGCCAGAGCCGGTGCCGCTGCCCAGGCCGGAGCCTGTGCCGCTGCCGCTGGCCGTGTTATCGTTGTCGGAGAGCTCGGCCAGGCCGAGTATGCGACGCAGTCGGGGATCGCGCAGCTCACGCTGCTCCTTGTGGCTGGCGCTCTGGCGCAGCTGTGCATAGCAGGCCGGCTCGACGAGCACCTCCTGCATTTGCCAGCGTATCGGTATGTGCGAGAAGATCGCCGCATCGATCTCGGTGGCGGGCAAATAGTGTTTCATCGGCTCGAACGGCAGACGCATATCAATATCGCGATCCCGTTCGCGTTTCGCGGCGCTCGCCCGTGCATCCTCCAGTGCCGCCTTTGCCGGATCGTAGTCGTACATGGAGCGGCGCGTATATATCGAGGCGGCGGGCAATTGTCCAGCTCCCAATGCGGGCGTCGATAGTTCTCCGCCGCCGCCGCCGCCGCCGCCCAGACCCTTGGGTGATTGGGAGCCCGGCTCGGGCGTTGGTGTCGGCGTCAGCGAGCGGGAATTGGAATTTGAGTAGTGGGCGGCGTCCATGTAGCTGAAGCTGCTGAAGTCGTTAGCATCCTTGACATTGTCGTTGTCGTTGTCGCTGTCATCGCCCGGGCCGTCGCCGCTGTTCGGCTTGAAGGGATTGCGTATGATGTCCCGATAGAATGAGGCGCGCATTTCCGGCTCCTTTTGGTCGCCGAATAGCAGCTTGCCAAAGGGTCCGCTGCTGCTCTTGCCCGCCGACGTTGGCGGGCTGCTTTCGCTGTGTGGCTCCGGCGTCGTTGGGGATGAGCCAGCTGGCGCGGCCGTCTTTTGGCCGAGCATGTTGCTCATGAAGGTGGGCAAATCAAATACGGACGGCCTTGGCGGTGTATCATCCTCCAATTCGGACGGCAACTTTTTCTCTTTGTCCTTGTCCTTCTCCTCCTCCTCACTGGAACGTTTCGTTTTCTTTGACTTGGCATCCGTTTCGGAGTCCTCCTCGTCCTCGTCGTTGCCATCATCGATGACCAGCTGCTCGTCATCCTCCTCGCGATCATCGTCCACTGTAAATGCAATTGCAGTTTAGATAAGCAACAAGAATGTTAGTTAACATACAGCTTAACATTGCACTGTTAACTTTATTAATGTTAATGTACAACAAAAAAGAAGAGTATCTTTAAGACTAAAGCGAATAATACCTAAAGCTACGACATTAATTACAATCCTAATGTTAATTAACATACACTTTAACAGAGCGCTGTTAAAATGCTTGCAGCGATTATCCTTTAGCTAGGACACTAACAATTAACATATATGTTGATTAACATACAGTTTAACAGCCTGCTGTTAACAGAGATGCATCAATATTTCGAATAACAAAAATTGTGCAAAATATATAAAAAAAAAACTGAAACACTTGCTTCAACCCTATAGAGTATATATGCCTATATCCACGGTTAGAATCTCAGTTAACATAGAGTTTAACAGCATGCTGTTAACTTGATTTCATACTGTTTCATATTGTTTAAGTCCTCAATACAAATGTTTGTTACATATTTTAAGATAAATATATACAGGATAAGAAAGTATATATCTATAGAGTATATGCCTATAAGGCGGTACGAGTAGCATGGTAAATGTTAGTTAACTTCCAGTTTAACAGCGCGCTGTTAAGCCAATTCCATTAGTTATCTTCGACAAATATTCAAAAATAACAATTTATCACAACTGTAAATGATTGAACCCTCTAGGCTATAAAAATATAGTTAAAAGTTATGTTTCTTTAAATCTTCAACCTTGTATATGTTAATTGTTATGTTAACTATGTTAACACGTTGCTGTTAACATTGCACTTAACAGTGACTGTTAACTAGATTTGAAGTAAGCGAGTTTTTATGGTAATTGGATGATTTTTTGAATATATTCGTATTTTGCTGATCGAGCTGTCAAATAATACTATGTGAATTATATCTGTGTAGGATCTGATTATAATATATTAACGAAATCGAAAAAAATCTATATATGTAGAATATAGAATCTGACTATATTGACTATAGGATCTATATTGTGGGAAAGAGAGATCTGACTATACATTTATGTATTCGATTTCAGTATATAAAATGGAATTAAATATTGGAAGGATACTTGGAATAGCCATATAAATAATGGGAGCTGTGGGGCATGGGATCTGGTTACATTAAGTGACATCTATTTTTATGGCAACTATGGAATATTGGACACGATTATATTGATTGAGATCTGATTGTTATGATATATATACAACAATGTTCATTTCAATGGGAACTCTTGGGTATGTGCTCTGATCTGATAAGAACTCTGGGATATAGGCTACGAGTATATAGAGGAAAAGATCTTCTTCTGGAAACAGTTGTATATAGGATCTGCTGGCTGGCAACTCTTATGGCAGCTCCTTGTTACATGCTGTCGCAGGATATTTTACTTACGCGGATCGCTGCCGGGAAAGTTGACATGTGCATCCTTCAGATATTGCGTGTAGTCGACCATGATGAAGCCGTTGTTGCTGTTGCTATTGCTATTGGAGCTGACGACGGTGCTCAAGTTGCTCGTCTCCTGATCCGACTTGGCTGTGCTCCTGCAAATGCAATTGAATGTGAATGAAATGGTTAATTAAATGGTATGAGAGATTCGCCTACTTGGCTGTGGCGGCGGGTGGGTCTGTTGTGGTGCTGGTTGGGGCTGGTGCGCCCGGCTCCTGGGGCTTGGCCTC